CATGGGGCTTGAACTCTGGGCCTGAGCACTGTCCCTTAACTCTTCAGGTCAAGGCTAGCATTCTACCACTTGAGCTATACAGCGCCACTTGCAGTTTTCTGGTGATTTATTGGAGATAAGAGTTTCACAGACTTTCCTGCTTGGGCTGGCTTTGAACCCCAATCCTCAGATCTTAGTCTCCTGAGTAGCTAGGATTACAGGCGTGACCCACCGGTGCCCAGCCCTTGGAAGCACTTGAGAACCACCTGGAAAAATCTGACATACATGTGGTCAGCCTCTTCTCTCTTACTTCCAACAAGCTGGTAAAAATCAGAACCACTGAGATTGGACTTGAGCACCCTACCTTTAAAGGTTGCTCAGGGGATTTCAACAGACTAAGTAGGTAGGGCTAAGAACCCAAAAACTTGGACCAAGTCACTCCTTACCTGACCTCCTCCCTTCCTCAGCCAACTGTGCTGGGGATGAGGGACCTGCTTTTGCTGGTCTTGGAACTCTGGGAATTTCAAATGGGCTGGACCCAGGCTGGTTGGCTAGCTTGGTTTCCAACTTTTCCTGCTAGAGAGAGGAGATGGGACCATCCTGGCACTTACCCCACTCTGGTCTGAGCCAATGTTTGTGGGCAGAAACCAGGGGACTCTGTGATTGGTCTTTACGCAGTCATTTTGCCCAATCAAATCAGAAGACAGAGCCCCTTGGGAGGTGCTTAAAGGTGCTAGCTAAGAGGATAGCATTTATCAGGATGGCTCCTGCTGGGGCTGAATGGGGCAGGATTTGTCATAGCTGACAGAATGGGCCTAATTTCCCCCTGCCTTGCCCTCCGGTTTCCTGCAGGCCAGGGTGTCCAGGATCTTCCCAAACAGCGGGGCTTTGTCCTGTTTTATGTTATCATCCCAAGGAAGGCCTTTGGAATGAAAGTTAATGGCCTCCTCCCCCTCCTCCCTCCCCCTCCCCCTCTCCCTTCCCCCCTCCTTCCCCTCCTCCCTCCTCCCCTTCTTCCTCCTTCTCTTCCTCCTCCTTCTCCTCTTCCTCCTCCTTCTCCTTCTTCTTCTTCTGGTCATTCTTGGGTCCTGGGCACTGTCCCTAAGCTTTTGTGCTCAAGGCAGGCCCTCTACCACTTGAACCACAGCTCTGCTTCCAGTGTGTGTGTGTGTGTGTGTGTGGTTAATTGGAGATGAGAGTCTCTCCGATTTTCATGCCTGGGCTGCCTCAGTTCTCAGCCTTCTGAGTAGCTAGGATTGCAGGTGTGAGTGTCACTGGTGCCTGCCCAGATTCTAGTTTTTGCTTCGTTTTTCTATGTGAGTTGTTGTTGTTTTGTTTTTTCAGGTACTGGAGCTTGAACTCAGGGCCTGGACCTTGTGCTTTAGCTTTTTCACTCAAGTCTGGAGCTGTACTATTTGAATCACACTTCCACTTCCACTTAGGGATTTTTTCTTGCTAGTTAGTTGGTGAGAGAGGGGGGGAGGGGAGAGAGAGAGAGAGAGAGAGAGACTTTTCTGCCCAGCTGCCTGATCTGGCCTCAAACCAGAATCTTCAGATTGAAACCTCCCTAAGATTACAGGCGGGAGCCACTGGGACCCCGCCCCCAGATCAAACCTGAGCTTTCCAATCATGTTTAGATGAGAAATTCTTCCATTTTTTCCATTCTTCCATTTTCTCATTTGCATTATCTAGCTTTTAAAAAGTACAAAGTTACTTTAGGAAAGAAATAAAACAAGGGGCGTAGAAAGGCTTTTGACAAACACTTTCAGTCAAGAACTCCTGGTGCTTTAGAGAGTAGGCAAATCTTTATGACTAAAAGGAATACGTTATTTAGTGTTCCCGTCTCCACAACGATATAGCTCTGGGGAGTTTAGAGCGTGCTAGAGATGAGATTCCAGGTTCTTTGTGTGTCTAGAGAGGAATAGCTCAGCACCAGGGCTCAGCTCTATCCCAGCTCTTGGCCTGACCAATCAGGGCACAACACCCCTCTGACCCCAGCCAATGAAACTGAGATGGACACCTGATCAGAGAGAGAGACCCGACTCTTCTATTCTGAGGCTGTCAGGGCCAGGACACCTGTAACAGCTGTGACCAGCTGGGGGAGGGAAGCTGGAATCAGGAGAGACCAAATGCTGATGGCAGTGGCTTCACCACCTGGATCCAGCTATGCCTGAATACCCTTGTTCATAAAATCAGCCAGTGATTTCCCTCTTTCTGCCCAAGTAAGCTGGA